ATGTTTCAAATCTTCAAAGGAGCTCTTATGCGTTGTTTGACTGAGATAAACTGGCCACCGTACATTCATTTATCCCAGATAATGCCCCAAATAAGTGGAAAGATCATTGCTGATTAAGACGAGCAACATATGGGTGATTACTAGGAGTTTGCTGAGAAAGCACAGTCACGATGTTGAGCATGAAAAATGAAATAATTAGGATGGGGAGCAGAAAAGACAGTGATGGTTGTGAAATGAGGAATTGGGAGACTGGAAGAATTTGAGATTGAGTTCCTTCAAGGGACATTTTGGTTTAAGTGTTTACATAGAGGTTACATCTACTACCAATGGAAATTGCTAAGATTTGGGAGCTCTTTCTTCCTTTGAATCAATATTATCATTAATTAAGCAATGTAAACCAGGAAATCCTTCCTGGTTACAAACTATGCTTTGAAGCCAGGCTTGCATTTGAGTGTTTTCAATCAAAATCTTAGAATAAAATTGGAAAGAAAGCAATTTCTCATCTTCAAAGGAGAGCTATCCGTGGGGAAAACAGTCTTCTGAATTATACTTCAGAGAATGATGAGAATTTTGTTGCCCTTATTGAAGTGCTGCAGTTCTAAAGAAATAACTACACTTTGGAGACAAATCCAAATGCTCCCTTATAGCAAGGTTCCACCCACAAGTCAAGGTCATTGACTTAGGACTTCCACGAAATGTGGGTTTTTCACATATTAGTACTCACATTATTGTCATAATTTTTGTCATTGCATGGTACCACCTGTGCCATTTATTTACCCAACATCTTGCTGCAAATTTACTTTTTAATTAGATAGACTAAGCCAATGCACCCAATGCAGCCAATGCAGCTTATTAAGGCTCATGAATACCCTTTGTGGGAAGAATAGTATTGTCACTCAGAAGAAAAGCACTATACTATGGATGCATTGAGTAAAGCCTGGGAGACTCACCACCTGGTTCTCAGCTTGGTTCTACCTTCTGGTAGCCTTGAAATTTGGGATTAATTTCAATTTTCTATTCATATAGTTGTAAGGATTTGTTGGTTGTAAAAATTGAGGAACAATGTTAGCACATAACAAATGTTAGCTAAGATTCTTTTCTTAGTCCATTAGTGAAGAGAGAGATTTGCATAGTCCTGTAGTGCAGAAGAGACACTTTTGGGAGGAAATGTGTCATAGCTAGGAAGGGACAAAGGACACATCATCATCTTTGTTTCTAAACTGGTTTCCCCCAGACCAGGTTTTTATCACTTGTGGCTTGAATAATCAAGAAGGGAAAACAAGATTTTGTGAATCTGTCCACACAAGTTGAGCCTATTAAGGGCCCAAGTGAGAAAAAAAGCCCAGAGTTAGGGAGAGGATAGGATGCCCTTCCTCTGAAGAAAAACCAACATCATTTTGCTGTTAACAAAGGATTTTAGCTGATTTTTTTTTAACATTCTAGCCTCTGATTATTTTTAGTGTTTAGGTTATTTTTCATGTGTTTATTTTTTGTCTGGCAACCATATTGAATGTTTATTCTTTCTAGTAGGCTTTTAAAATTTGCATGCATTGTTTGGGTATGCAACTGTGGTATCTTTCAATAATGATACATTTGCTTCTTCTAATCCAATTCCTGTACCTCTTATTTTTTGTTTCTTGTCTTATCACATATAAATTATTTTACCACTATTTAGGAATGATTAAACTAGTATTGCATTCTTGGATACACTATGGTAAGGATGATCTTGAGAATGTAGCAACTAAAGCCCAAGAAATAGCTAAAAATATGTTGCAATAATTTGAATGTATTGTGACAATGCCATGGACAAAGACAATGGGTAAAAGAGCATACGGAAAAAAAAATCACTGAGTCATATGTTAATTGAATAAATGAATGAACATAATGGAATGTAAGAATCAAAGCTTGACTATAAGGCTTCAAGTGTGTAATGACACCAGAAGATTAGCATTCATATCAGTCAGGAATCAGAAAAATAAAAATCACTCTAGGTAAGGATTGAACATGAGAAATCAAAGCCTTAAACAACCATCAAAAGAACTGTAGAGAATCTACACATAAAATTAAATTTCACTGAACTTTACAACATACAAATGAACCATGCAAAACTAGTGAAATCTGAATATGTTCTACAATCTACTTAATAGTGTTGTACTGATGCCAACTTCTAGTTTTGATATATTACAGTGATAAAAGATGTCATTATTGAGGGGGGCTAGTTTTTGTTTTATTTGGTTTTTATGCAACTTTTTTTTTGCAACCTCCTAAGAGTATGCCATTATTTCTAAATTTAAAAAAAAAAGGCTGCGGAACCAATATTTGGAGAAGAGACCATGATGTTTTTCTGGAAACTCAGAAGTGCAGGGTTGCTGGAAAACCACATTAGACTATGTGATTCCAGGATCTCACTCAGAAGCTCCTACAAACTTTGCATCATTTGAGTGTCCTCACTCTGACTGCAACTGCCACCAAAGGGTGTCCCCTCATTCATTTCTGCCTTTGACATCCCTGTGGTGCCCTCATTGGCTGGTTCTAAGCAGGGAAACTGGAAAAGTTTTGAGGAAATTTAGTTTCAGGTGTCGAGTCCCTGAAATATAAGAGAGAGTAGAAAGATCCAGGGATAATGCTGAGTTAAAAATCTGTATCCCAGCTCACGGACGTTTAATAAATACTAGAAATTTATAATCTAGTCTTTGAAAAGGGGATTTGAAGAAGGAAATTAGTCAAATTTTTCAGTTTGTGAATGAAGAAAATTCATAAATAATTTCATTTCCCAGCATAGTTTCTCGGTCTCTCTGCCAAGCTATCTTCATCCAAAAGAATTTCTAATAAGCAAATTTTTATAACATTTTTACAGTTTATAAAACAATTTCACATGGACTCTGTCATTGGCCCACCAAACACAGATGAGAAACAGATAATAATGAAAACACTTAATACCTATCTGGAACTTTCACTAATGTTATCACATTTCCTTGCAACACACTGACAAAAGCGTCTTCTTTGTAATTCTCTAACATAGCACGTTGTCTTTCCATATCTTTGCACATGTGGCTTCTATTGCTGAGAATGTCTTTCCTGGTACAAATTCCTGCTTGGCAAGTCCTATACCGCCTCATGCCTTGTTGCATCGGGATCTCTCTTTCGTCTCTTTCTTGAAAGAGACCGAGGCTAGAGCAGTATGAATAGGCAGCCCCCACCGTGCAGAGGGCCAGGCTGTGCTGCCCTTACAGGAATCCGAGGGTTGACCAGAAGGCTGGCAGGTGTGACCCAAGGTCCGTTCCTCAGCTATTGTTTCTTTTTTTTTTTTTTAATTTTTTTAACGTTTATTTATTTTTGAGACAGAGAGAGACAGAGCATGAACGGGGGAGGATCAGAGAGAGAGGGAGACACAGAATCCGAAACAGGCTCCAGGCTCTGAGCCATCAGCACAGAGCCCGACGCGGGACTTGAACTCATGAACCGTGAGATCATGACCTGAGCCAAAGTCGGACGCTTAACCGACTGAGCCACCCAGGCGTTCAGCTATTGTTTCTTATTCCAAGAACCTCACTCTTGATGAGCCACCCGTTCAGCTATTGTTTCTTATTCCAAGAACCTCACTCTTGATGAGCCAAATCTAGTTTCCTTGTGCAAAACAGCAAGGAGAAAAATGAATTTGGTGATAACAGAGGGCTTAACATTAGTGGTCTAATGGTTGGAGATATTTCAGTGAACCAGACATCCCTGCCCACAGTGAAACCTACAAACCAGTGAGGAAGACAAGCATTATGCAGTTATCTTAAAAATATACAACTCCTCGGGGCGCCTGGGTGGCGCAGTCGGTTAAGCGTCCGACTTCAACCAGGTCACGATCTCGCGGTCCGTGAGTTCGAGCCCCGCGTCAGGCTCTGGGCTGATGGCTCAGAGCCTGGAGCCTGTTTCCGATTCTGTGTCTCCCTCTCTCTCTGCCCCTCCCCAGTTCATGCTCTGTCTCTCTCTGTCCCAAAAATAAATAAACGATGAAAAAAAAAATATATACAACTCCTCAACTACTATAGCTATGAAGTAACATTTGTAAGGGTGTACAAAAAGGAAACAATAATGAAGGGGAAGGATAGGAGAGTATAAGGGAGAGCTAGAGCAGGTACAGGGCAAGTCAAAGAAAGCTTCCCTGAGGTAAGGACACCAGTTGAGCTCAAACTGATGAGAAGGATTTATCAACACAGAGGAGTCTGGGAGGAAAGCAGGAAGAGAAAAAGAACGTTCTGGGCAGACTCCCGACAGCTGTCAGCCTAAATTCAGTGGGGAGTCCCTAAAGAAAACCACAGAGTTCCCCTTCACCCCCTCCCCTTCTCACCGGGTAACACCTCCCTGACGTGAGGCAGCTGAGCTCAGTGTTAGCAGGAAAGAAACATAGAGCTTCATGGCTCAGAGCCCAGGAGAAAAGAGGGGATGGAGGCAGATTGTGTCATGAAAAGAACATGGTGCTGGTCATCACAATTTACATGTGGACACTGCCACTTACTAGATTTGTGACCTTGGAAAAGTCACTACCAGCCTCTGAAAATTGTTACGAGGATTCAATGAGAAAAGAAACAAGTGGGGCCTTATACCCAGTGAGTGCTCCGTAATGTTAGCTTAATGTTCTCACTTTCTCCAGGTCTGCTCTGGACTCAACTGCGTCCCTTCAAAGTTCGTAGGTTGAAGCCCTGACATATAGGGTAATGAGACTGTATTTGCAGATAAGAGTCTTTAGGAGGTAATTAAGGTTAAGTAAGATATAGGGGCAGACCCCTGCTCCACATGGACCGTGGCCTTATAAGAAGAGGGAGAGAGGGAGAGAGGGAGAGAGGGAGGGAGGGAGGGAGAGCCCTCCCACTCTCCATCATGTGGGGATACAGTGAGAGGCAGCTGTCCACAAGCCAGGGAAAGGGCTCTCACCAGAACCTGACCATGCTGACACCCCATCTCAGACTTCCAGCCTCCAGAACCATGAGAAAGTTAATTTCTGTTGCCTAAGTTCCCTGTCTATGGCAGTTCGTTATGGCGGCCCAAAAACTGCTCTTAGAGATGATGGAGTACAAATCTTAACTGCAATGACATTCGAAGAATGAATTTATGAAAGGGCAAAGGAAGGGAATGGGATAACTAAACAGGACTGGGGGTTTGAGCATTTTCATCAGTGAGGCTGGTCTCGATCCATTTGCTGTCTGGCCGTGAATACTTGGATGTACAAGTACATCCTGTGTCCAGGATGCACACAGCCTCACATGTGTCAAAACTCTACAGATGGTTTTCTGTGTGGTTGAGGAAAACATTTTCTCCTTCTTTTCATTCTTACTGTTGCATGAGAGATGGAAGGACACATAAACTCTAAGAAAGAAAGAAGATCAGTAGTGGCCAGACCGGGGATACAAGCGCCAAGAGATGGCATAATAAGGAAAGAAAGGCAAAGTATACTCCTTAAAAGGAGAAGGAAACAAGTCCAAGAACCCAGGATAGAGGACGTGGCATCATCCCATCAACAGAGCTTTCTGTGTGAAATGCTATTCGGATGCTGGAAAATACTTCCTCACAATTTCAAAGCCTGCAAGTGTTGATAAGCACGACCTCCATGCAGAATGCATTTGATCTTCCCACCGCAAAATGAGGCAAGCCCGGCAGGACAGGGATTATGTCTCCAGGGAGGAAATTGTGGTTTGTAATGCTTCAGTGAAGTTCCCTTGGCTGATGAGTGTTAGAGGCAGTAGCCAAGCCTTGATTTTCTGATTCCAGACTCAGTGTCTTTTCTGTGGCAAATGTCCAAACATGCTCTACCTTGCATCTGATCTTGACCTGGTTTTCCAAGGTCAAAAGTTTTCTCCGTGTCCTGTCTTCTTCCTTGACCCAAGGAAATTCTCTGCCCCAACAAGTCAGATGGCTTGTTGGATGGCTTCTTCCAGAACAGAAAATAACCCTGAATGGACTATGAGAACAGAAAGGGACAAGAGAAGCATGTAGATTGGGCCCTACTGACAAAATCCCATCGTGGGATATAATTGGTCTCCGCCTTGATGAAGTTCTCCCTCAGTGATCCCGATACTGCGAGGCCACACAAACACAACTGTTATTCTGACTCCCACTTTGCAGCCCTGAGAACTGAGATTCATGACACGCCTTCTAAAGATCAAGAGCCGGATGCCAAATCTTTGTCTGTCTCGGCCTCCCTATAGGGGATGGAGCTCTGGTGTGACAGTCAGGAGGCTCTTGGGGTCCAGTCCTCCCACTCATACCCCGTGCACTCCTGGTCAAGGCTTGTAAACCCTGGGTTTCATTTCCTTCCACTGTGAAATGAAGGGACCGGAGGGCACGGTCTCTGAGAATGTTCTCTGAAGTGGCTGGTAAGAAAGCAATCACAAATATTGAGACAAAATATGGTCCAAATTCTTCATGCTGGTTCCCAGATATGATTCAGGGAGGGAGCCAACAGATAGAGGAGGCTACTTATTTTTGCTGGTGAGGTCGACAGATACTTCTTTCGAGCTCGATCAAACAGGAGGTCTGTGCAGGCCACAGCGTCATTGCACGTCATGGGGCTTGCGTGCTCCCTCTCTCCCAGCCACTGCTCGAAGCCCGGGAGAACGTTTTTGAAACCAATCAGGAAATTACTTATCAATCTGCAGCCCCGCAGAGCTATCAGTCTCCTCGCTGCCAAAGGGAAGGGGATTTCGAGTTAAAGCTCCACATCTGCGTGCACTAGAATTCAAAGACTCCAGCTGTTGGAAGGTCTTGCGAGCAACGTAAGTAAACAGCCCTCTCTCCGGATCGAAGTGAACTTCTTCAGGCTTTTCTTCTCCCACAGATGAGTCTTTTGGCTCGCGCTGGTGTTGAGCTGTTCTCTCTCTGTCCATCTATGAGGTTTGGGGGTGTTTACTGACTGGGGCTTACTCAATGAACCGTCTCCTCTGGGGGTTGCTTCTGCTGAACAGAGGAGAGAAAGCGAAAGTCGTCAGAATCGGCTTGGCTTGGGAAGGGTTAGTTCTGAAAAGAGCCTTTGACTTGGCCGTTACGCTCCTTAGTGGCTATAGATCCATAGTCAAGAGGAGCAAGAGGCTGACACTTGCGGGAGCCTCACCCGGAAACACGGAATTGTCATCGAGTGCCTACATCTGTCATCCGTGCCTACATAATTCAAATTGAAGGGCTTTCCTTCATTCTGATACACCGCAGGAGTTTGCTCGAGGAAAGGGAAACATACAAGCTAATAGTGTCTGGTGGAGATTTCCCTGTAGTAGTATAAACCTTGTGCTCGATGTCGTTTGGGTTGAGGGTGCTGATTTATTTACTGTTTATTTTATTAAACAAATGTGCTCGGCATTTTACATTGCTGTGGGGAGGATAAGGCGTTCATTGCAATACACGAGCGCGAACTGTGTTGGTAAAACTATGGGCTTGTGTTAAGAGTAATTATGAGACGGGATTGCCTAGTGTTGTACATAACACATTGTACTAGAGCATATTTCTTTCAAAGCTTTTTTGAAATGTTTATTTTTGAGAGAGAGAGCACGCGCTGGGGAGGGGCAGAGAGAGAGGAGGACAGAGGATCCAAAGTGGGCTCTGCACCGACAGCAGAAAGCCTGATGCAGGGCTCAAACTCATGAACCGTGAGATCGTGAGATCACTATTAGGAGATCATGACCTGAGCCGAAGTCAGACGCTTAACCGACTGAGACACCCAGGCGCCCCACTTTTAAAGATTTTTTAAATCAGATTGTGGTTAAGGACTGGGAAGTAATTGCTAGAGGACAGCTCATGTAAAGGAAATAGCTCTGTTTTGGTCAACATTCGCTCTCTGACACCCTGCAGCTTCCCCAGGACCTTGTCCTTTTCCAGGGTCTCTCATCAAGAACCCTATGGCTGCAGGGTACTCGCGTCCCAAGGTCTCGGACTCTGCCCCCCCATCAGACTAGGCATCTGTCAATATGTCTTGATTCCTACTTTGCATAATAAAGCTTGGCATCCGCATCTTGGTTCTCCTACTCCCTGGAAAGCTCTCCTAAGCACAAGAACAACTGGCCTTAACTCTCCTCGATATCTGATATCTGACTCGCTTTCTTTCCCTTTGAATACCTTTGTTTCACAGTTTGATGTCCTGTGAGGACGAGACCGGCTTGTTCCTCATATGCTAATTAACTCCTCTGTGCCTTGATGGCAGTGCATGCATAAGGCATGTCAGAGGGCCAGGAGGCTCCGGATGGAAAGGGTGTATAACAGCCTATTTCCTGTGTAGACACCCCCTGGAGCAACTTTTAGTCTGAGGTGATCTCTAACCTTTCACTTTTACTTAGTACATATTACGTGCTTGATGTGGTAAAAGCAATAAAAACAAAAGCTGAGACGATGCTCCCCTTCTAGAACTAATGTGTTTGTAGTCTGTGGAGCCCAAGCCAGCTTTTGTTTTCATGGCAATAATTAAATAAATCTGGGCACTAGCTGTTGGACATGTGGGGTGCAATGGATCATAAAATGGAGGGATACGTGTTTGGAATGTGAAAGGAAATTATCCAAATATTGGGAAACATTTACTGGGCATTCGCCATGCATTTGGCCCTCTGCTCACCGTGTCGCGTGATGTCTTTGGAGCAGGCAACTCTCTGGTTAGGAGGAGCGGCTCTGCAACCACAGCACCCGGGGACACACGTCCCAGCGTGGCCTCTGCGTGGTCACTTCACTCCTCTGTGCCTCAGTTTCCTGAGTATGAAATATGGGTAAAAACCTTGGGGGCTCATGGGAGGGTTGAGAGTTAATGTGAGCAAAGCGTTATTTGGGTTTCTCTGTAGGAGAAACTGAGGCTAAGGCTAGCTAATAACTCGCCCATGGCGGTGATGGCCGGCAGGGTTGGGATTTGGAGGTAAATGATCTGGCTGCATCGTAGTGGAGAAAGTCCACGTTTAGAACCAGCATCTGCTTTCCTTGCTTCCCTCGTGCTGTTGGGTTCTTTGGGGTGTCTCCTTGCCAGGCCCTCACAATGCCTCCTGGGGGCACGTGACTGACCACCGCCCGCAAAGATTTCAGACCAGGAAACAAGCTCAAGATGCGAGACAACTCGCCCCTAGGTCACACACTGAGAAATTACCAGAGCTAGGAGCCAAGCACGGTCTTTCAAATCCCCACTCCCACTTTCAAATCCCCTCTCCCACTCTTTTCAGGACCCCACGCTCTTGATGAGGCCAAGTCCATACTGCCCCCTGCAGGGGAGAGTGAGCTAATGGAAGAAGCCAGTGCTGCATATCAGTGAAGGCCTCCTGGGTAACTGGCCCGCGGACCTCATTAATTAAGGGCCGCTTGGTCAGTAACTCTCCAGAGGATTTGGATGTGCATCAGAGTCAGACAATCACATTCCTCAGCCTGTTTTGTAATCTGGGAAAGAATGAATGTTGCCATATCCACCTGAAGAAGGTGAAAACTTGTGCTAAGTACAAGAGATTGGGCCTTTTCCCCATTCAAATTTTTTGGATTACCCTGTGCTCAGAATCAACCTTATTCCAGAGTTAGTTACTGTCTTGTTTATATCCCGGTGCTTTCTTCAACTTCTGGCATGCGTCACCTGCTTCCAAGCCCTGTGACCACCTGAACTTGTTGTCATCAACACTTTTGGCTGCATCAGCAGAGGGGCAGTTTTCCTTCCTTTGTAGGCCTTTTATTATAAATCAGTACAGCTCCGTGGAATTCATCACCACCTTAGAACAAAGTGAGCTGCTGTCTGTATAGCATGAGAAATTTGCTCAATAAACTTAACACAGAGAAATCAGCGACTTGGAGCATTTACTGTGCTGAATAAAATACAATGAGATCAATTTCTCTGAAGACTACTTCAGCACAGATAAATGCAAGCCAAACGTGTTCTCAAAACATGTGCTAGGATCTTTAGCTGCCTCAGAAAGAGGTCACAGAGGGCGTGGTGGAACAGGAACCACTGATGCTGGGAATAATTTCCGGTGGTGGCAAATGTCAGAATTGGAAGGGCAATGGTCGTGGTTTTGAACTCTGGCTTGATCACTTTCTAACTGTAAGACTCCAAGTATGTCACTTACCTCTCAGGTGTATGTAACAGACATAACCAAGCCCACATGGCACCTAGCATAATAGGTGCCCGACCAACAGGGGTGTTCCTTTTCTCCTTAGCTCTGGTCCATTCAGTCTCCAGATATTTACTGAGCACCTACAATGTGCTATGCACTATTCTAGATAGACCTGTGAAGCGAGAGCCAAAGTCTCTACCTTCATAACTCTAGAGGGGGCAAAAATAGAATCATAAACCAGAATGTAACTTCAGAGACCGGAAAATGCTATGGAGAGAACATAAAGTACAGTAATGAGATAGTGTGACTTGCAGTAAATCCATGGAGCTTCTTTTAGGCCTGAAAATCTGTTTTGTCATTTCCTTTCCTCATCGTAACATCATATGCCATGAGTAATTGCATGAAAAGAAGGAGAGAAAAATCTCTGAACCAAACTATACTACATTCATTCTTTCATTCCATCTTCTGCACTTTTTTTCAAACTGTTCTTTGTCATCAATGATAAATGAGTAGGTCTTAAGTGAATGAAGATTAATTAATTATTCTTCTTAAAAAGTTCAAATCATCACAATTCCTAGGGATTACATTGTTGGAGAGGAGAAGAACCACCGCATGGCAGATTTTAGGGATGATTTGTGCCGCTTCACAATGACTTCATGTGTGGCTGCGAGTCTGAAATTGTACATATGTTAGTGCAGCCAACATGCAAAGCTGCCAGACGTCGGCCGATCCAACGTTCTATTAGCCAAGAGTCATGTGTATGGCTTTGAAAAACAATCCACGGTCTGAAGTGTTTCCTTTCTTAAAATGGTGCAGCAAACCTCACTTGGGTCTGAGACAGCGTCTCTCCGTAGCGAAGGTCACAGTGTAGATAACTTGTACCGGAGGAGTCTTTGTCTTTCAATCAGCCAACTATTTGTGGCCAGAGTATACTTGGCCATAACAATCTGGATGATTGTCTCATTACTCCATTATGCCTTTATCACCATCGTGTAAACCCCAATTAAGGGTCCACAACTTAGAACGAAAATCTTGTGTTCATGGCAACACAAACCGTGCAGGCCAATGTTTCCGATTTTCAAATATAGCACTGATATTTTTTTTTTTTGCTTAATTTATAGAAATTTGATCTCTCCAAATTGCAAACACATTTTTAGAAATTGTTTTGGGAAAACCTGGTCCAAAGTTAAAATCCAAGGACTGAAAACTAAGAGCAAAGAAGAAGGGACTAGGACATTGACAAGTTAATTAACCGGTCATGGAGAGTGTTGTGGGGCAATTCTCCGGTCATGGGGAGTGTTGTGGGGATGCTTCTCAGGACTGCAAAGCAATCTCACCCAGAGAATGGTGGTGAGCTGCTGTCCAGAGGCAAGAGTAGGAGAAAGAGGCTACTGTTATACGTGCACTTTTATGACAGATACCATTCTCAGCATTTTATGTATATTAGCTCCTCATCAAGACCCTAGTGTGGCTACTATTTGCTTATTCTATAGATGGGGGGCTGAAGCTTGGTGCAGTTAAGTAACAAGAAAGTTCAGCACCAGCTAGGAAATGGCAGGACAACCTTAATCCAGGACTGCCCAGCCGCACACCCCACTCTACTGCCCTGCTGGAGAGAGATAAAGTGTTCTCCCATCCCACGCGATACACATTCTATGTAAGTAAAGGAAGGATGTACTGCACGTTTTTAAATGTTGAAATGGCCTTCTGAGGGAAGA